GGACCCGAACCGTTAACTCTGTTTTCTCCTCCACAGATGCTGCCAGACCTGCTGAGCTTTTCCAGCAACTTTGTTTTTGTCCCTATCCGACAATGTTCCTTCTATCGACGTTCTAAGTTAATACACATGACTATATTATCCAATTGTATTCAAATCTATACATATGATTATAAGATCTAATCAAATGCAATAAATGTTCAAAAGAGCACATTATCCAATCAAACTGTCATGTTCACATCTGTTGACTACGCGTACATACCTAGTGATGATCAAAACTTTTCACTGTCCGTTTACCCTCTTGCATGTTATTCTTGAATGCAAGTTTAACTTACATCATAAAATGCAAACCCTCTGAAAGTTATTCAAGCAAAAGTATTTGTTGAAGGTGAATATGCACAATGCTGATTCTCCTTCATTAGTCAGGGTGTGTTCATTGATCCCATGCCACCAACAGACAATTCCATTTGAAGGGAACATTGGTCAGAGAATTGTCAGGACAGATTATTGAATTTACCCTGGAGTCTTTACACATGGTAGGATTGCTGTCAAACATACAAAGGACTGTCTTATTCATGACTCAACAAACCAATTGCCACCAAATTAAACTAAGCAATGGCTTCTCTTCCTGTACCCACACTATTGGCCATACATTCTTCTTTGAGCTCCCTCCTCTTCCTTATTCACACACTGAGACAATAAGCAGTTTCTTCATGGTATACATTTCAATGGTGTTCCTTCACTGTTCAGAAATGCAAATTATAGTGCAGTTCTGCAATTCATTTGTTTAATTATACATAACTTGAGCTTTGTAATTCTAATCTTGGACATAATGTGTTTGTTTTTTAATCATCCACGGGATGTTAGAGCAAAAAGCAGTACAGCAAGGAACAGGCCCTTTGATCTACCAAGACTGCACCAACACATGACACCTTTCCAAGCTAAAAACCTTCTGCCTCTACACTGTCTATAGCTCTTCGTTCCCTGCCTTTTTATCGATCTGTCAAGATGTCTCCTAAATGTTGCTATTTTATTTGCTTCTACAACCTCCTCCAGCAGGGCATTCCAGTTACTTATTACCCTGTGCTGGTAATCTGTTGGTAATTGTTTTCAAACTCTTGCATCTTCTTCTCAGTGGAAGAGAGTATAACCGGGGTGGGAGGGATCTTTGATTATGTTGGCCGCTTTCCTGAGTCAGCGGGAGGTATAGATGGAGTCAGTGGAAGGAAGGTTGGTTTGCATGATGGTTGCGTGATCTCCTTTAAACTCACCCCTTTTTACCTTAAACTTGTGTCCCCTAGTAATTTACATTTCAAAACTGGGAAAAAGACTCTGACTATCCATTCTATCCATGCCTGTCATAATTTTGTAAACTTCTATCAAGCCGTTCCGCATCTTTTGACAAACCGAGTTTGTCCAATCTCTCCTCATAGCTACTAGTCTCCAAACCAGGCGACATTCTGGTAAACGTTCTTGTACTCTCTCTAAAGCCTCTATCTCCTCTGGTAGTGTGGTGACCAGAACTGTATAATAACAATATTCCAAATGTGGCCTAACTAAAGTTCTGTACAGCTGCAACATGACTTGCCAATTTTCATACTCCATGCCCCAACCAGTGAAGCCAAGCATGCCATATGCCTTCTTGACCACCTTATCCACTTGTGGTACAACTGTTGACATAGTTGACAAAGCCAACATTTATTGCCCATCCCCATTTCCCTTGATTGAATGGTTTGCAAGGGTATTTCAGAGGACAGTTCAGAGTCCGCTGTAGTCGCTTGTGGGCTGGGTGAGGATCGAGTGAACTAGATGAGATTTTACAACTGTTTGGTTGGTGAATGGTCACTATGACTGATTCAAGCATTTTTTGTTCATTCCAGATTTATTTGTTAACTTTGTGTAAATTTCCAAAATGCTGTGGTGTGGTTTGAGCTCTTGTATCTGGATCATTAGTTCAGGTCTCTGGATCACCAGTCTAGTAATATAATCAATCTTGCTGTTTAGATTTACTGGATCTTTCTAGATCATTTCTAATTATCAAGGCATGATTTTGGTTAAATGTTTGGTCACAGTGAACAATCAAAATAAATAATGTGTTAACTACAATGATGTCATTGGTAAATAAAGTTAATTTGTTTCTAATCTCTCTCAGCCAAAAGCATAAATAATAAAAAGGTCATTTCAAAATGATTAATGAAATCTTTGTATTTTCCCGTTAAGCAACGGAGAGTGAGAGTCCTTTGTCACAGCCATCAATATGCACAGCTTCTGTTGTGGAGAAGCCAAAAAGTGCGGATAATGATGACAATCCTGAACTGGAAGCTAGAGAAGTGGAAATCATGCGACAATCTTCGGTTATTAAAGAGATGCTTGGTATTCGGTTGCCAGCCAAAGATCCAGCTCAGAGTACAGCGAGCACGAACTTGAGGAATGCAACTGCCTCACCAAGTTGTAAAGAAGTGAATAATCACAGTGAAAACAGACTTCAGACTGAACAGTTTGATAACCTTGCTGCCTCAGAAAATACAACAAACACAGAAGACTTGGGAACCATCAAAGACACACTTGCAATTGAAAGAAGCGTGCCACAGAATACATTCAATGGAGTGGACCGTACTGATACTGCTCCACAAAGCTCTCCTTTGACGATTGATGTACCAAGTCACACTAGCACTTTAAACTCTTCAGAATCTTGTAACATCATCATACCCAACTATAACCAGACTCTGGATTCCAGTAAAACATTGCACAATATAGCTGGGGCACCGGTGAAAGAAAGAACTTGCTCTTCTGTTGAAAGTTGTGCTAATGATCAATTACTCCGAGATGTTATAGAGACACAGAGGAGGAGAGTAAGTGTTAGAAGGTTGGTGAGTGAGAGGGAGATTACAAGCAATTCCGATTCCGAATGTCTAGGCGATGTGAAATCTCTATCCCCAAGTGATGAATCTAGAAGGCAATTGAAACCTCAAGCTATCTTTAATCAAAACTGTGCATGCAACCTGAAAGCTCAACAAAAGCAGAAGGAGTGTGATCGGTCCAAGGACTTTATTGCTACTTCTGAAAGATCTGATTGTGGCCTTACAGAATCTCCTTTTACTGTCAGAGACTTTTCAGAAAGTTTGGATATTAAAATAAAAACAGCCACTAGAGATTTTTCTGGAAGCAAAAAGGTGTCCAGGATAAGTTGTAATGCCAGCAGCCAGAAGATCAAAAGGAAAAGGAACATGCACGGAGAGGAATCTGAAGACAGAGATTCGGAAGATGGGGATTTCAGAGTGAAACGAAACAGCCAAAGTGGGCCCTGGCACATGCGGAACGTTGATGTGAATCATTCAGCACACATTTTGGAAGAAGAGACGAGTGACAGTGATGCCCCTGTGCCTCGGACTATTAAAATCCCGGATCTTTTTGGAAGACCGAAAGTCTACCAAAACTTTACTGTCACTGCAGAGATGCGGCAGAAATCTGATGAGGCAGCAAGATGCAGAAGAATCACCAGAACATTCTGTAATTGGCACGAGGAGAGCACTGCTGTTCAACATTCAGGAGAGTGCAACTGGAATGCAAATTACTGCAGAAACACAAGTCCTGTTGAAAAAATTCTAAACTTGGAGTATATAAATTTTTCTCGGGATCTCAAGAATGTAGTGAACAGAGCAAATGTTGGACTATTCACAAGCCCCATCTCATATTCCAAGGATGGAAATAAAACAGCCTTGAGGAGGAGAAATATCCAAATGGTTTCCAGTGAGAGACTAACTGGGAGGGGGAACCCACTGACTGTGACAATATCGTGCCAAAAGGTTGAGCACAGCAATGGGAAGCGGTTGCACAATAAAACCTGGCCACCTCATTGGACTAATGGAGAGGATGAGGCTTGGGAAACAGAAACTGTTACATTTTCTAAACCAAAATGTTACACAAATTTCATAAAGAGTCACAAGAGGCCATGTGGTCAATCTCACGCTATGATTCACGATTCAGCAGAACCTGCAGATAGGATGCCAAGGAAATCATGTTGCATCAGGGACAAAGGATCTCTTCTTCATGATGAGCTGCTAAATGCAAAACGGAAGGAATATAAAGAGCTTCAGGGTGATGGGAGGAAAAGAACTGATCCATTTTTGTGCTTAATAACTGAGTTATGCAGTAACTTACACCAAAATTTGAGGGAAGTTGTAAAAGAATCTTGGAAAGGCACTTTCAACTTTTATGTCTTTGAAACAAATTCTGATCCATTTTTTAAGGAAATTAAGGTAATTGTACTATTCACTATTTTCTATGTAGAGTATATTAGAAACAAATCTCACTGCGTCAATCCCTCCCCATTGCGACCCATTCTATGTTCCATTACTTAGATCTATAATGAAAACCTGACAATGTAAACTTACTGTGTTGTAACTACATCCTCCTGCCACTGGGAACACTGCAGTGCCACTACTTGTCGGAGATTAGATAATGAGTGACAAGTTTCTGCAATAGATGTAGGAGTTTGTCATAGAAATATGTGATTAATGTGACTTTAAACTGAGATCTGAATTATGTCCAATTATTCTCTGCACTCTAACCTTCTTCTGCTTAGGATTCTCTTCCAGAGATATAACACCACAGAAAACTGACTTCAATTATTTAAATAGGACACATATGTTCTATGTACATTTCCTGGTTCAACTGTAAAGCAAAGAATTTTGGTTTATGTAATGCCTTTCACAAGCTCCACGTGTTCTACAGCATTTAGGGCAGTAAATTACTTTTGTTGTGTAGCCTCTGAAGCTCTGGGTACACAGTAGGATTTTGCAAATTGATTGGGGTGAGGTGTGGGAAGAGGCAGGGGTGGCGAAAGTTGGTTGAAAGCTAACAGGAAATCCTTGCTGTGCTCCTGAAAAGTGCCCTGGGATGATAGACTATGTACAGGTCCTAGTTTGATGACTGTTCTTCCAGTATTACAGAGCTCCCTTATTTTCCTCACTGAACTGTTAGCCTGGATCATAGGCTGAACTCCTGAAAGGGGTCTGAAATTACTATCTCTGAAATTATGAATGCTTTGGTCAACTTTTCGACACAACATTGTTACATCAATGGGTCCCTCCTCCCAATTAGTCTGAGACCCTCAGTTTCACCCACAGAATCAGCCCGAACTGTGTTATGTGCAGCATTTAAGTAACACCACCATTGACTGGAGGCTAACGTTTCTAAACGTAAAACCTTGTATTAGTCATTCCCATCCTATCCTGTAGAGGCACACTAAAGTTTCAAACCACTCTGTGCTTTGTGCTCCCTGATTTGCTTGGGTTTGCTGTTCAATAAGGAAAGTAGCTTTACAGCTATATGTGTGAAAAAGGAAGAATTTATGCTGAAAAAGGCAAAGGCAATCTGAGCACAAAGCCCACCATGCAAGTCCTGTCAGGATTTGAAGGTTAAGGTCCAATTGTGCTGTGACCCACGGAGTGAGATATTAGGAACAGAGGATAGCATGCACTGATCAGAGGATAGCATGCACTGCTTGGACATATGGTGAAGGCAGATTCAGTTGAAGCATTTTTGGATAGTTATGGTGTGGACAGAGCTGGGGAAAATGCAGGTGATAAGCACTAGATAATAGATCCACAGTAGATAATATAGTCAGTACAGGTGCAATGGGCCGACTAGCCTTAACCGTGCTGTAATAATTCTGTGACATGAATCAACAACAGCCTGATGTAGGTAAGGTGTTGTGAATATGATTATTGACCGATATCCTAGATTCATCCATCACCATCCCTTGGTGTGTCCTTGTTATACAGATGGGACCATGCCCAATAGGCACAAGTCAGGATACAATGTTCTGGCTCTGTGTAACCCATTTCTATTATATGTCTCTTCAATGGGAGCTGATTGCATCTGCACACCCTGGGTCCAGTTATCCTCCAGGATAACTGTTTTAAATTCATGGATGAGAGTTGCTCTGGTTAGGCCGACTTTTATTGCCACCCACCACCACCAACTGCTCTAGACAAGGTGCTGGTGAGCCTTCTCCTTGAAATGCTGCAATCACCCACGGTGTGGTTAGGGAGTAAGTTCCAGGATTGACTGTGCTGCAGTGAGGGAGTGACAATATCTGAAGATGATGTGTCTCAGTCTTGACTCAGTGTGTAAGATGCCAGGGTGAGTTACTTAATATGTAAATTATCATTGGTTTTGGAATATGAGGAAGATCGATTCTTGAAACAGCACCATGTGCGTGGAACACTCACATTCACTTAATCCTACAGATTTAGAAAGACATTGCTAGGTGTTCATAACGCACTATTCTATTTTATTTTAGTTCTATGTGTTTAAAGTAGCCATAGTCCCAGAGGACCAAGGGGCTGCTCTCACATTAGATAGAGACAGCACAGGTGGTGATTTAACCTGAAGGTCACCATGCCTCACGGGAGGGGTGAGGTTGAGAAGGTGGGATTTTCATGGTGACCTCAGCTAGTGTGTGAAATGAGCCCGTGCTGTTGACGCCATTCTGCATTGAAAGCAGGTGTCCAGCCACATGAGCTATCCAAACTCCAATTTATACAGAACCATAGATAATTTGAACGGTTGAGAGTCTGAAAACCAAAGCTGATTTAATGCATCATTGCTTTGCTCACATGGAAGGCAGGTGCCTGACCATCTATTAATTCAGTTGATTCAAAATCTTCCTATGCTTCAGAAATCAATTGGATTTATCTATGAGTTCAGAGTAAGCAATTTATAATGATGAGACATGCTATGAACAATTTGCAAATCAGCTGAACAGATCTTTCAAATTAAATGACTTTGAATTAACGGGATTTCTTAATCTATAGACCGTATCAAAATATATCAAATCAATACACTAAGATCATGTTCGGTGAGGCAAAATTCTTGGTAATCGTTCAGGGCCTATAAAAAAATAGACTTGATGTGCTGAATGGCGTTTTGCCAAAAATGCTTTCTGCTTTTCCTACATACTATTGGATGG